TATGTCACCCCTCCCCTTACTCAATAAACTCCAATGGCTCCCTATTGCCTCTGTCAAGAAATACAAGAGAAAATCAAGTATGGCCACCTTCCCCATAATTATTTCAAATAAAGTCAACATTGTGCTAAGTGCTTGGGATACAAAGAAATGCAAAAGGCATTCCTTGTTCTCAAAGTCTTCACAGTTTAATGGGAGAGGTATGTAAACAACAACATACAAAAAAAGAGATAGGATAAATCAGAAATAATCTTAGAGGGAAGGCACTAACACCAAGAAGAATCAGGAAAAGTTTCTTATAGAAGGTTGAGTTTTAGCTGGGAACTGAAGAAAGTCAGAGTCTCTCAGGAGAAATATAACATAACATGATAAACTGAGCATGCATATGCTTACAAGCAGTAGAGAAGCATTCAGAAGACAGAAAGAGATTGAAAATGAGTGAGAATGGAAAATCTTCTGAAGAAGACAAAATGAAATGGTATAACTTCTGCACAAAGAGGTTTGCCTTGGTAAGGAAAAGGATCACATTCCATTGCCACAGTGAGGGTCCAGTTGGGATGATGTAACATAAATCTGTAGTGGGCACAGCACAGTTTTATGACTTTCTCCAGCTTCATTCTCCACATGAAGGTAAGGCAGGGGTGAAGGAGGAGACTGTTGTATATGGCATCCAAGTGACATATTAGAAGAGGGGGAAAAGAGAAAGCTCTTAGTTAATGGCCTAATTTTTTTCAGTGAAATACATGGCAAAATTTTCAGCTGAGAGGGTGGAGGGAGGGACCACCATGGGAGATTTATTCAGAGGTGAAAAAGTTTGGAAAAGTCACTCTGATGAGTAATATGATGAATGAATTAGAGAGTGAAAAATTATTTCACTGACACAGTGAGGATCCAGTTGAGATTACATAAGATATATTTATAATGGACTCAGCATAATTCTATGATCTTCTCCAGCTTCATTCAGCAGCATGTACATAGGAATGGCAATGGATGGTGACAGTCACTTAAGGCAGAGGTTTGGAATGGCAAGATCATGATAGAAGAAGATAAAAGATAAGATAAAAGAACAAGGGAACCAGGAAAGGGAAGAGAACAGCATGGAGCTGAGGGGTCAAATGAAGAGAAGCAAGTGCAAAGGTACTGAGAAAGAACCGAGAGATGATGGACTTAGAGATCACAATTAGGATAAAGAACAGGATTATAGGTGGTGGTCAGACAGAGGGAGAGGGACAATGACAAAAGATTATGATCAGAAAAAGGAATTTCAAATTTTATGAGCCTGTAAGTAGAACACTTGTGGATGATGGCAAAATCAAGGGTATGATCATTTCTGTGGAGCTGAAGCTGGGTGGAATAATAAGTAGAAAAGGAGTAAATTCAGGAACAGAGGGGTTAGAGTATTTGATACAGGTCTAGAAATGTTAGCAATAGGACAAGAGAAAAAAAGTTAAAGATACAATGATAGGCAAAAGAGGATTTAAAACTATCCCTATTTGTGGGAGTCAGCAAAAGTGCTGTTTGAAATAATATTTTAAGCCATGATTCCGGCTACAAAACATATCCAAAAAAATCAATAGAATTTTTATATGACAAAAACCAAGTGACAATAACAAACTGGAAAAATCATTCAAAGTAATTCTAAAATGCAGAAAATATTTGGGGATTAATCTACCAAAACACGTAAAATTCTTGTGTGCTATTACAAAGTGTTCATTGAAGAAATAAAGAAAAACTTAAATGGCTCGAGGAATGTTCAGTGTTAATGACTGGTACATGAGCAAAAAAAGAATGACAGTATTTGAAAAGCTAATTTACAGTTTTAATGCTATACCAATCACACTATCAAAGGGATACTTTGCAGAACTCTACAAAATAACAGCAAAATTCACATGGAGAAAAACATTTTCCTTAAATATCAGGGGAAAACATTTTAAAGAGGCAGAGATAAAGGGGGAATAGCACTTGTAGACTTCAAACTACATTATAAAGCAACAGTAATCAAAACCATTTGATACTGGTGAAAGAGTAGAGATGTAGGCACATGAAAAAAACTAGACAACAGAGATGAAGAAATATTGGAATTTGATAAACTGGAAAATAAAAATTTCATAGGAAAAAACTCTCTACTTGCTTTTGTTTTTTGTTTGTTTTAAACTGCTAGAGCAACTAGAAAGCAGTCTGGGAAAAATTAGACCAAGATTTTATGCCATATTCCACAATAAATTCAATATATATATATATATTACTTTAATATTAAAGATCATGCCATTTAAAAATTTAAAAAGAAGGAAATTATTATGCCATATACAGAGCTATGGATAGGAAATTTTTTTTCTTAACCAAACAATTGATAGAGAGGCAGTTTTTAAAGATAACTTAAAGATAACTTTTAAAGATATGAAACTAAAAGGCTTCTTCACAAACAAAATTAATTTATCCAGATAAGAAGACTGCAATAAAATGGAAAACAACTCTTTGTATCAAATTTTTCAAAGAAGATGCAAGACAACTAACAGATGTATATGTGTATAGATACATGTTTGTCTATATATTTGCTCACATATATTATACATGTATGCATTATATATGTGTATATAATGTACATACATTCATACATATAACCAACAACCATTCCCTAATACATAAGTGGTCAAAAGGATATGAATAAACGTTTTTAGAAGAACTTCAAATTGTTATAAACCACATTAAATAATACTCCAAATTACAGATTATAAGAGAAACACAAATCAAAACCACCCTGAAGTTTTACCTCATACTCAGCATACTGACAAATGTGAGAAAGGATGAGAATAGTTCATGTTGGTATGCTTGTTAGAAGATAAGCAGACTAGTGCATTGTTGGGGGAGCTGTGAATCAGAACAACTATTTTGGACTTCAATTTGGAATTACAGAAATAAAATGGCTAAAATGTCCATACTCTGTGACATAGAGATTAAACTACTAGGCATATATCTCAAGGAAGTTTGATAAGAAGAAAGCCTCTAAATATACTAAAATATTTACAGTAACAGTTCTTGTGTTATCAAAGTATTGGAAACAAAATGGATGCTGATGAACTAGGAAATGGATAAATAAATTATGGTACCTGAATGAAAAGAAATATTACTGTGTAATAATTAATCATATATTAAGTTTCTACTATGTGTTGGTGGGCATTGTGTTAAGTGATGTTGAAAAAAAAAAAGGACAAAAACCAGCCCCTGCTTTCAAGGAGTTTACAGTCTAATAGATGAGACAACTTGCAATCAAGTTTGTATAAACAAGATATAAACACACACATATATATACACATATATATATGTATGAATATGTATATGTGTGTATATACACATAGATACATACATACATATATAAATATGTATATATATAAATAAATATATATACATATACATGTGTGTGTGTGTCTCTGTGTGTGTGTGTGTGTGTGTGTGTGTGTGTGTATGTCCAGGGCTAGTCTCAGAGGGAAGGCACTTAGATAATGGAGGACTAGGGTAGGCTTCTTGCAGAAGGTGAGATTTAGCTGAGACTTAAAGGAAGCCAGGTAAGCCGAAAGGTAGCAATGAGGAGAGAGAGCATTCAAGGCAGGTAGGTCAGCCAGAGAAAATGCTCAGAATCAGAAAATGGAATGTCTTGTCTGAGGAATAGTGTCTATTAGTGTCTAATAATAATTAGTGTCATTAGATCACAGAATATGTAAAGGAAATAAGGTATAAGAAGATTGAAAAGGTAGGAAAGGGACAGGTTATGAAGGGCTTTGAATGACAAACAAGATTTTATATTTGACCCTGGAAGTAATAAGGAGCCACTGGAGTTTACTGGATGGTGGATATGGTCAGACCTAGACATTAGAATCAATCATCCGAAGATCAATCTGAAAGCTGAGTACAGTACTGATTGGAGTGGGGAGAGACCTGTGACAGGCAGACCCCCTGCAATTTATTGCAATGATCCAGGTGTGAGGTGATGAGGGCCTGCACTAGGGTGGTTGAAATTTCAAAGGAGAGTAATGGATGTGAGATAGTGGCAGAAGGCTGTGTCTGGGAGGATGGTGGTACTTGCAATAGTAAAAGCAATGTTAAAAAGATTTTGGGGAAAAAAGAATAAGTTCTGTTTTGGACATTCTGAGTTAAATATGTCTATGAGACATCCAATTTGAGATGTCTAATAGGCAGTTGGGGATGAGACACTAGCTTTCAGAATAGAAGTTATGTACGCAAATAGATGAGGATCATTTGTATAGAGACAACAATTGATTTTATGGGAGCTGAAGTAATCACCTATAGTAGAGAGGGAAAAGAAGACCAAGGTGAGACCACTGGGCAATACCCATAATTAGTGGTCAAGACATGGATGAAGATACATCAAAGAAAGTGTAGGAGATCGGAGAAAACAGTGTCACAAAAATCTAGAGATGAGAATATCTTGGAGAAGAATGTGATCAAGGATGAAGATTCCAAATAGTTTGATTTGACAAGGCAGAAAGTATTGAATAATGGTAATAAGCCTTTATTAACTTAGATATATTAGTTCTCAGACAACAAATCCAGTCTGTCATTAAATTTTGAAACTTTTCTAGTCAGAAATTATATTCCACTGAATTATATTCCACTGAACCAGCCTTTTAGAATCCAAGGTCATCTCCACATCATGGTAAGTCTTCTGATTAGTGGAGGAAAAACAATTATTGAATGCCATAAGCATTTACCAAACTTTTACCTCTCTTGTGTACTTATCATACTCTACCTTAAACACCTTCTCTGCATATGCATTTTGTCTTCCTTACTTTTTTAAAAGCTCTATTATTTATCTTTTTTATCTAGAACCTTGTACATGCTTTGTAAATGTGTGCTGGATGAAATTAACACAAAACAACTCTGATATTGTCAAGACTATACTAAAAACCTAGGACATGATTATGGCTGACAATAATCTAAAGTTCAGCTGAACACGTGCCCTCCCAGAGATGAACCATACTACCTACCAGTGATGCTGAAGCCATTCTTGTAGCCTGGTTTTTCTAAAGCAAAGAGCCAGCCAAAGAGGTCTCCAATTGGGGTGAGAGGCAACAGGGCCTGGGCTGCAGGATGAGGGATGTGACTGATAGCTATATAGGCTCTCCCGTCATTTCCTACGATGTAGGCGTGCAGGTCTACCTCAGTGAAGGACACTGGAGTATGTCCTACATGGAGATGGCCACTCACTTTCCCATTGACTCGGTGAGGTGCTCCTAAAAGATGGAAAGTAGAGTTATTCCCAGTATCCACAGTAATGAGAGACAGGGACTGTGCAAAAAAAAAGAATTCCATAGATCATTTTAAAAAACTAAATTCTGGGCAAAAAATCTTCACTTCTTCCTCTATTGACTTCTTATGATTAATTGAATGATCTATTTTGAGGTTCATGCTTCCTTCTCCTTCAACTCTGGGGCAAACTGGTATGTGAAAAGGATAAGAGGAAGAAGCTCTCAATAATGAACAGCTCAACACAGCTCTGAGTTGATGTGTCTACATGTAGTGCCCAAGAGATCCTTGCATAACTGAAACAAGACCAGCCTATAACATTTTACCTTCTAGCAAGCAGTGCTTTCCATTTCCATAGTAGTTTGACTGGCAGTGGCAGCAGAAGCCAGTGGGATAGTCTGTGCAGAAAGCATGCTGAGAGCACTGTCTGTGGTTCTGTTCACATGTTTCCTTGATGGCAGCTTGACGTGTGAATACTGAAAATAAAGTATATGTATGTGAGAAAAGACTAAATTAAAAAGAATAGCTCCTCTAAATTAAGTCAAGAAAACTTCACCACAAAATCACAGTTGCTATTTGTACGTTTGCAAAAAGTACAAAAATAGGTTTTTGAATGTTACAGCATTAACATTCAACTGAGGGGAACGAATTTGATTGCTAGCAAAAAGTAACGGCTACTAACACAGATGGTTACTACTCTTTAATTCATAAGGCAAACACTCAGAAAAAAAAACAATACAGTATATATTTTTTAAACGTCTACAAGGCATTGTGGTAGGCACTGGGGGAGACAAAAGTAGAATAATATACTACTTCTGCCCTCAAAGAGCTTACAATCTCTTACAACAGTAGGAGAGATACTAATTATTATATTAAGAAAAGATCCATTTATTCTTGTTTTCTGATTTTTTTAAATGCAACTAGATGGTGTAGTTTTTCAAATGCTTTTTCTACATCTTTGCTTTCTCATTAGTATGATCTATTATGTTTACAATTTTTCCAATACACAATAGTCCTGTATTTCTTGAAATACATTTTGAAATATTGCTGTAGTCTCTGTTAACCTATTTAACTCTGTTAACTTACTTGTTTAATAGTTTTGAATCATTATTTATTAGGAATATGTCTATACCTTTTTTGTCATTATATATAACCTTATTTAGGTTTCAAGAACATATTGTAAAAGAAGGAACTTGGTAAGATCCCTTCTTTTTCTACTTATGCAAATAGTTTTGCATACTTTCCAGTATTACTGGAACTAAATAATCTTTGCATAGTTGATAGGATTCCCTTGTAAATGCAACTGGTCCTGAATTATTTTCTTGAGAAGTTCATTTATGGCCTTTTCGATTTATTTTTTTTTCCAAGACTGGGTAATTTAAGTTATCTATTTCTTGTTCTTTACATTGGAATATTTTGAATTTTTGTAAATATTCATTTAACTTGTTTACTATTTTATTGTTATCATACAATTGGGCAAAATTGTTTCAGATAATTTACTTCATCATTTGTTGAGATTTCTTCTGACATTTTCATTCTGTAATTTAATTTTCCCTTTATAAAGATAATGTAATAATTTAACTGTTTAAAACAGTTTAAAATTGCTTTAAAAACCTGTTTTATTTATCAAATTGATTCAATGTATTTTCTTTATATCTTCTTTAATTTTCAGAATTTCTATTTTCATGTTAATTGGAATTTTTGATTAGCTGGGTTTTTCTTTCTAATTTGATTGGTTGCCTGACCACTTAACTAATTTGCTAATTCTCTCTTTTGTTGATAGAAGTACTTAATAACACAAAAATTTCCCCTAAGAACTGCTTTAGCATTATATATGATGTCTCCTTAGTATCATTTTATTTAATGAAATTATTATTTCTATGATTTGTTCTTTGACAAATAACAAATGTTATTTGAATGCTTTAGGATTAAATTATTTAGTCTTCATTCAAGTTTGAAACCTTTAAAGTCTCTTTATTGATTATAATGTTTGTCATATCAGGGTTAGTAAAGGATCTGATTATTTCTTCTACTTTTATACATTTATGAAGTTTGTTATGCTCTGAACATGGTCACTTCCTGTAAAGGTACTATTAATACTGAGAAATGTGTATATTAATTCTGTTCCAATTCAGCATGTGTAATAGTAGTGTAGTAGTTGTAATAGCAGTAGTAACAGTGGTGGTAGCAATAGAAGTAGTTATATTTTATATATATATATATATATATGTATATATATATGTATGTATGTATGTATATACATGCACACACATATATATAATAGCTAGCATTTATTCAGTGCTTTAAAATTTACAAATATTCTTTCATTTTATCCTTAAACAACCCTGAGAGGGAATTGATATTATTACCTCCATTTGACAGATTAGAAACTGAGGCAAACAGTGATTAATTGATTTGTCCAGGGTTACATAGCTAGTAAGTGTCTATGACTAGATTTGAATTCAGGTCTTCCTGAATTCCTTCTACTGTTTCACTTTTTCTTAATTTCTATTTAGGTTCATAACTTCTATTTATTTTTTTTGTTTGTTTGTTTGTTTAGCTTCATGTTAGATTTATCTTGCCTTGAACAGGAATACACTGAAGTCCTCAACTAATAGTTTACTGTCTATTTCTCCTTGTAATTTGAATTACTTTTCCTTTAAGTACTTAGATGCTATGCTAGCTGGGCAGCTAGGTGGTGCAGCAGACAGAGTGCAGGACTTGGAAGAAGACAACTTGAGTTCAAATCCTACCTCAGACACTTACAATTTGGGCAAGTCACAACTTCTCTGGTCTTAGTTTCCCTATCTATAAAATGGTCATGATAATAGCACCTACTTCACAAGGTTATTGTGAGGTTAATGAATTAACATAGACAGGTAGATGACTTTACAAACCTTAAAGCACTATATGAATGTCAGTTATTATTATTGTTATATGATTTGAAACGTGTTTTTAAATTTTAATTATCCTGTTTATCTCTTTTAAGCATATCTATTTTTGCAGTTGCCTTTTCTGAGATCAACTGAAGCATAATATATTTTGCTTTAACCCATGATTTTAACTGTGTGAATCTTTGTTTCACATACTCTTTTTTTGTGAATCATATATTACTGGATTTTGCTTTCTAATCCATTCTGCTGTCCTTTATTGTTTTATGGATAACTTCATTTGTTTGTTTCTTGAAGTCTTTATGGTTATATCATTTCTCTCCCCCCATCCCCAAGGTTTTGTTTGTATTTTTTGTGAAGTTCCTTTCTTCTTCTGGATTTTCCTTTGGGAATGCCATGATCTATGCTCCTTCTTCATTGTGTTTAGTGTATTCTTCTGTTAACCCATATCTTCAGCCTTATAGCTTGATTTGGAACTTTATGCTAAGGGAATGCTTCACCCTTTCCCATACTCATGCATGGGGTAATCAGGCTTTATTGGTTTTGACCTCAATTTCCTATGCTCCTGGTCACTGGCTTTCATCTTCCTCTGGTTGGTCTGAGATCAAAGCACTGGCAGCTTCAATGTCTCCAGTCACAGCTTCATAGTTGGTTGCCTCTGGTCAAAGCTGTCAGTCTTCCATCCCTTCTGAGCATTTATGTGGGCTTCAGTCCTCCCTAAGGCCTTCCTAATAGGTTCCTGTTCTTCATTCACCAATCAGGGTGCCGCTATTGCCCTTGGGGCTTCCCTGGTTATACCACTGTTGTTGTCTCCCTTCTGCCCTATGCTTTTTCACATGCATTCATGCTGGCTGTGCTGGCAAGATCTTCTTCAAGCACTATCTTCTGACTGTCCTTTGTGCAGTCCTGGACTGGATTAAGGGGCTTGACTTGGTGTCCTTGTTGGAGTATATTGGGAAAGTGAGGCTCCTCTTCACTTTTTCATGCCACATGTTAATGAGAACTCAACACCATTACAGCTTAGATTTTTTTTAAATAGAGAAGAGGTAAACCAGGAAAAGTCTGATATACATGCTATATTTTGAGAAAGCATATTTCAAACATACAAAAGATACAGTATACCAGGGATGAAAATTCTGCAAGAAACATCATCCCAGGAAGGATGTTTGACTCTGGAATGAAAGAGATGATGTTCTTCAGTCATTCAGCAGGTAAAAGGAAATTTACTTAACCACAGGAAAAGATGTTCAATAAGGATTTGTATTTAGAATACCTCAAGATGATACAGTTAAGCAAAGTCCCCCTGTTTCTAAGTTACCTTCATGAGCTGCCAGCCAAGAATCACAGAACCTCTGGAGTTCATCATGGCTGTTTAGTACTCAGGAGAGTGGGAAGTGATATCAATAGCCTAAGCTATTAGTCTGTTGAGCCAGACAGGTTTCAAGAATGCCTTCAATAACTTTTAAGCAAAAATTGACCTAAATTCCATAGAGGAATGAGAATTAGACTACTCCTACCAGGAAACAGCCAGGGGCTTTTGGGCTAAGTGGGGCAGAAGTATCAGTGGAATGGAACATATGACCTCATTGATCAGGAAGCACTCAGAGGGCATGTGGGTCAGGTGGGCCAACTATAGAAGCCCTAGGTAGCTAAGTGAGCTAGAAAATAGAGTTCTAGCTAGTTGGGAAGTCCAGTAATTTGGGAGGTCTATGTGACACCTTTTTGCTGTTTTGATGGGACCCTCTCCAATTTGTAGCATGGATGAGGGGTGGGCTGTTGTGCAAAGAAACTGGAATTTGTGACTCTGGCTACCTATGTCATTATTATTAGAATTCAGAGGCCAGACTGTAGTGGGCCAGGATACTGATGGAACTGGGGAGGTATGAGTTAGTCTCCTGCTCTATCACAGCCAACCAGGATTGTTGTGAATAAGGAAACTGGTGCTGAACTGGGACAGTTTGAATTAATTTTACCCACAGGTAGTTTGAACTGGAACTCAACTTTGGCCCCGTTGGGTAAGAGGAATAGATGAATGGTTTTAGGACTCTGTCAAGGAGCTCCTGAGACCCCAGGGATCCTCTTTGCTATCTGTTTTTAATCTTCTTTTGGTCAACTTTTTTCTTTGTGTACTCACTGAGGCAACTGCTTTTACTTGGGGCTATATATATATATATATATATATATATATATATATATATATATATATATATATATACACATATATATATATATATATATATATTTATTAAATAGATTATTTATCCTTGGGCTCCAAGTGATTCATTGAATGATTTATGGAACTGCAACCTAGACACTCAGTTTTTGTTGTTGTTGTTGTTCAGCTCTTTCAGTTGTTTTTAACTCTTTGTGACTCCATGTGGGGTTTTCTTGGCAAAGGTACTAGAGTGGTTTGCCATTTCTTTCTCCTGCTCATTTTACAGATGAGGAAACCAAAACAAATAGGATTAAGTCACTTGCCCAGGACCACATAGCTAGCAAGTGTCTGAGGCAAGATTTGAGCTCACATAGATGAGTCTTCCTGACTCCAGGCCTGGCACTCTATCTACTGCACCACCTAGCTGCCC